AATGCAGTGTTTTCTGTTGGTCATGGGGTTTCTGTATGGGAAATCTGGCCCAACTCTATTCTTGGTGGGGTTCAGAATGCTTGTTGATTGTAGGTGAACTATATATCCCAGCAACTACAATTCCCAAATGTCAAGATCTATTTTCCCCAAACTCCACCAGTATACGCATTTGGGCATATTGAGTATGTAGAGTTTGGTCCTGATCCATCATTGTTTGAGTCCACAGTGTTCTCTGGATGTAGGCGAACTACAACTCCAAAATTCAAAGTCAATGCCCACCAAACCCTTACAGTTTTTTTTCTGTTGGTCATTGAAGTTCTGAGTGCTAAGTTTGGTTCAATTCTATTCTTGGTGGGGTTCAGAATGTTCTTTGATTGTAGGTGAACTATAAATCCCAGCAACTACAACTCCCAAATGTCAAGATCTATTTTCCCCAAACTCCACCAGTATACGCATTTGGGCACATTGAGTATTCATGTAGAGTTTGGTCCTGATCCATCATTGTTTGAGTCCACAGTGTTCTCTGGATGTAGGCGAACTACAACTCCAAAATTCAAGGTCAATGCCCACCAAATCCTTACAGTTTTTTTTTCTGTTGGTCATTGAAGTTCTGAGCCAAGTTTGGTTCAATTCCATTGTTGGTGGAGTTCAGAATGTTCTTTGATTGTAGATGAACTATAAATCCCAGCAATTACACCTCCCAAATGACAAAACCACCCCCCACCCCACCCCGCTAGTATTCAAACTCGGGTGTTTTGGGTATTTGTGCCAAATTTGGTTCAGTCAATGAAAATACACCAGATATTTACATTACAATTGATAACAGTAGCAAAACATACAGTTATGAAGTAGCAACGAAAATTATTTTATGTTTGGGGGGTCACCACAACATAAGGAACTGTATTAAGGGGTCGTGAACTGCTCACGGGCCTCTATACCGAGAGGCTGCAGAACCCACTACCTCCAGGGCATTACTCCTGAAACAGCTGCCTTGTTGGAAAACTATTACAGGCTCCACAACGAAGACCCATTTAGTGAGCAAACCCTTCAGGCAGCGCAGAGCATGGTGTCCTCCATCTCTGAAGCCAAGAAAGAACAGTGGATCAAGCTGATCACAGAGGTCGACATGGGCAGGAGCAGCCAGAAGGCGTGGAGGCTGCTGAGACGGTTGAGCAACGACCCCTCACAAACTAATACCCATGCCAACATAAAGGCAGATCAGATAGCACACCAACTCTTGAAGAATGGGAAACCCAACTTTGCCACCAAAGTAGGAAAGAAACCAATAGCCAGGCAACCAGAGATTGAGAACAACAACCTCCATGAACCCTTTACATCTACTGAATTGGACATGGCTCTCAACAAATGTAAGAATGGCAAAGCAGCTGGCCTGGATGACCTACGGATGGAACAAATCAAGAACTTTGGTCCAAAAGCAAGGCGCTGGCTGCTGGAGCTGATGAACAACTGCACGGCATCCTGTCAGATCCCCAAAATCTGGAGGAAAGCAAGAGTCATCGCCATCTTGAAGCCAGGCAAAGACCGTAATGACCCAAAAAGCTACAGACCAATCTCCCTGTTGTGCCACCTCTACAAAGTTCTGGAGAGACTTATTTTGCATAGAATTATGGAAAAAATAGACCCATGTCTGATCCCACAGCAAGCTGGCTTCAGGAAAGGCAAAAGCTGCACATCGCAAGTGCTGAACCTGACTCAGCACATAGAAGATGGCTTTGAAAGGCAGCAGATCACAGGAGCTGTCTTCATAGACCTGTCAGCGGCTTATGAGACTGTGAACCACCGCCTCCTCCTGAGAAAAATGTATAATATCACAAAGGACGACCACCTCACCCGCCTCAGAGGAAACCTGCTACAAAACAGGAGCTTTTTTGTTGAGTTCCAGGGCCAGAGAAGCAGATGGCGGAAACAGAAGAACGGCCTGCCTCAGAGGAGCGTGCTTGCTCCATCCATGATCGTGCCATTACTGCTCAAGCAGGGAGCTTTGAAATGGTAGAACAGAAGCTCTCCGAAGCTCTAGGTGCCCTTACCGCCTATTACAGGGAAAACCAGCTGATCCCTAATCCATCTAAAACACAGACATGAGCTTTCACCTTAAGAACAGACAAGCATCCAGAGCTCTGAGGATCCTGGGAAGGAATCCCACTGGAGCATTGCAGCACACCCAAATACCTGGGAGTCACTCTGGACCGTGCTCTGACCTACAAGAAGCACTGCCTGAACATCAAGCAAAAAGTGGGCGCTAGAAACAATATCATACGAAAGCCGACTGGCACAACCTGGGGATCACAACCAGACACAGTGAAGACATCTGCCCTTGCGCTATGCTACTCTGCTGCTGAGTACGCATGCCCAGTGTGGAACACATCTCACCACACTAAAACAGTGGATGTGGCTCTTAATGAGACATGCCGCATTATCACAGGGTGTCTGCGCCCTACACCACTGGAGAAATTACACTGCTTAGCCGGTATTGCACCACCTGACATCCGCTGGGAAGTAGCAGCCAATAGTAAAAGGACCAAGGCAGAGACATCTCCAGCTCATCCCCTGTTTGGGTATCAGCCAGCACGTCAACGACTTAAATCAAGACATAGTTTTCTTAGATCTACAGAGACACTCGCTGGAACACCCCAGCAAGCGAGAGTCTAAAAGTGGCAGGCCCAAACCCAGCACCTCAATTCATGGGTGATACCAGATGAGAGACTCCCCCCTGGGCACTCAGAAGACTGGGCGACTTGGAAGGCGCTGAACAGACTGCGCTCTGGCACCACGAGATGCAGAGCCAATCTTAAGAAATGGGGCTACAGGGTGGAATCCTCGGCATGCGAGTGCGGAGAAGAACAAACCACTGACCACCTGCTGCAATGCACCCTGAGCCCTGCCACATGCACAATAGAGGACCTTCTTGCGGCAACCCCAGAGGCACTCCAAGTGGCCAGATACTGGTCAAAGGACATTTAACCAAATACCAAATTTGCAAAATCTGTGTGGTTTTTTTTTCCTTTTTAATCTCTGTGTTTGTTTTGCTCTGTTAGAATTGTAATACAATGGTTGCTGATGACACGATAAATAAAATAAAGGGGTCGTGGCATTAGGAAGGTTGAGAACCACACTGATCTCAAATATGCCCTTCAGAATTGCATATCAGAATGAAATCTGATTGCAAAGCTTTGAATGCAAACACAAGTGGAGCCTCCCTTCTCTGAAGCCGCTGGGAGCAGAAGCATTTTGCATCCTAAACATGCGTAAGATTCCTTGGAGGAAGGCCCAACACGGAATGCATGGATGTTTCTCACTCCGACGAGGAGGAGGAGGAGCTGGTCTCCACGTTCTGCCTTGGAAACCTTGGGCCAATCTCTATTTGGCGGCCCATTATTCCCCACACAGCCCTTGGCTGCAAGCCTCTTCCTTTGCGGCACACAGAACCTTTTTTTTTTCACGAGCTGCGGTTTGTTCTGCTAATAAAAACCACAGGAACGGCACATGGAGGAGACTTAATTTGAAACAGAAAACACAAAAAATAGAAACCTAAACAAAGCCTCCTTCGTCCAGAGCAAGAGAGAAAATCTGGATGGAGTTGGGCGGAAGGGGTTTCCTGCAAGATGCATAACAACCATGTCTCACTACGGTTTTTGCTCCTGGGTCATCAATGCCATTTCCTCATTTGGTTCTATGTTGCAAGTCGCTTCTGGTCGCCTCCTCCTGAGTAAAAAACCACCGCCTCCTCCTGAGTACAATGTATATGTGACGATGTGTATATTTTTATTCCTATGGTTATGTGTTATTTAAACAGTAGTTAATAAATGGTAAGTATGTAGGATTATATTTTGTTAGAGATGCTGGCTGGCTTGGCCTGAGTTGCCATAGCAACGGGGGTGGAGCCAACTGTCACCTAACTGCACATCTGTTTGAAATAGGCAGTCTGTAAGCCGGTGAGCTACAGGGAAGACTGAAATCTCTGGTGGGAGATTCAGGGAACTAGTCTGTGACCGTTAGAGTTACAGGGAAGACTGAAATCTCTGGTGGGAGATTCAGGGAACTAGTCTGTGACSGTTAGAGTTACAGGGAAGACTGAAATCTCTAGGTGGAGATTCAGRGAACTAATTTGTGACTAAAGGGGTTACAGGAAAGGACCCGGTAGTGATAAAGCTACAGGGGATTATTGATTCTGGGTTAAGAATCAAGGTTTGGCTGGGAGCCAATTCTGTTAAATAAGCTTTTTAGCTTATTTGTTTTATTAGGACAGTTGTCCWGGAAAGATACGTCTGCTTARYGAAACCTCTTAAAGTCTGTACCTAAAGTTKCTCATGAAACCTTACTATTGTAATCAACTAAGTTTGTGCCTAGTGAAGAAACATTGAATCGGTTATATTCTAATAAAACTTGTTACTGTTCTTTTTACAAGCCTTCCCTCTGTTACTTTTACTTCAAAGCCAAACAGCCTGCATAAGAAGTAAAACCAAACCAGGGACGTTAAACGCTATGCTATCAAATAAATAAATCCTTCTGTAATTAATAGTCCCTTTATAAACGAACTCTTAAGCTGATACTGATCATTGCCCAGCTTTCCTCACAAATCCGTGGCAGTAATTTCATGCTCCTTTACAGTATAATATCACAAAGGACTACCGTCTCACCCGCCTCATACGAAATCTGGTACAAAACAGGAGCTTTTTTGTTGAGTTCCAGGGCCAGAGAAGCAGATGGTGGAAACATGTCTGTCTGTCTGTCTATTTCTCTATCTATTGTACCTCCTTCTATGAAGCAGAGCTTAGATGGCCATTGTCTAGGAGGTTTTCCTGCCTGGCACAATGGGATGGACTAGATGACCTTTGGTGGGTCTCTTCGAACTCCACGATTCTATGATTCCCAAATGCCGTACTTTCAGGTGTTCTGGACCCCGGTTCCCAGAATCCCTGGACCCCGGGCCAAGGAGGAGAGATCCTTGCATGGCAGTGTATGTTGCGGGGTGGGCTCACCCTGGCGGAAGCTGGAGTCGATGGGGAGGTCGTGGGTGCTCCTCCGCCCGTGGGGGCCCCGGGGCCCCTCGCTGAGGTCCATGAGCTGGTTCAGGCGCAGCTTCCGGCAGTAGATGGAGGCCGCCTCGGGCTCCAAGGCAATCAGCAGCTGCTCGGGGCTCTCCGGGGGAACCAGGCCGGCCTGCAGCGGAAAAAGGAGATACAGTACGGCCCCCGTATCCACAGAGCCAGGCTTCGTAGCTTCATGCACCCACCTCCAACACAATATCTCCCCTCTAAGTAGTTTCTGGGTCCCTCAGTGGTCATCTATGCCATTCGTAGGCTGGAAGCCCTTGGTTTCCATAGGGTTGGCCATTACACTACGCAACACAATTTTTGTTCCTGGGTGATCAATGTCATTAAGAGATGGACAGTGCCAGGTGCTGTTCTAGAATGCCTCTAGAACATGGCCATATCGCCCGAAAAAAACCCTACAACCACCCAGCCAGTGGAGTTGACATAACAGGGGGGTGGGATGCTCCCTGCTGCCCATTTGTTTATTTATTTATTTACCTGACTTCTATACGGCTGTTCTCAGCCCGAAGGCGACTCACAGCGGTTCACAACAAATAAGAACAGCAAAAATTCAATGCTTCAGTGTAAAAACAGTTAACAACCTAACATATTACATAATTAATAAACAATTACTACAATAACCATTCACTATTCACTATCGTCTCATCATCAAAAACATGTTCCAGATTCGTCATCCATTGTTCCATTCCAGTGTTCATTAACTAATTATTCGAACGCCTGCTCAAACAGCCAGGTTTTCACTTTTTTGCGGAATACCATTAGAGATGGTGCTAGTCTAATGTCCGTAGGAAGGGCGTTCCACAGCCGAGGAGCCACCACCGAGAAGGCCCTATCTCTCGTCCCCGCCAGCCGTGCTTGAGAAGCAGGCGGGATCGAGAGCAGGGCCTCCCCGGAAGATCTCAAAGTCCTGGTGGGTTCATAGGCAGAGATGCGGTCGGATAGGTAGCTTGGGCCGGAACCGTTTAGGGCTTTAAAGGCCAACGCCAGCACTTTGAATTCAGCCGGTAGCAAATCGGTAGCCAGTGGAGTTGGCGCAACAGGGGGGTTGTATGCTCCCTGCGCTCCGCTCCTGTTAGAATCATGGCTGCCGAGCGTTGGACTAATTGGAGCTTCCGGGCCGTCTTCAAAGGCAACCCCACGTAGAGAGCGTTGCAGTAGTCTAAACGGGATGTAACCAGAGCGTGGACTACCGTGGCCAAGTCAGACTTCCCAAGGTACGGTCGCAGTTGGCGCACAAGTTTTAACTGTGCGAATGCTCCCCTGGTCACCGCCGAAACCTGGGCTTCCAGGCTCAGCGATGAGTCCAGGGTCACACCCAAGCTGCGAACCTGCATCTTCAGGGGGAGTGCGACCCCATCCAACACAGGCTGTAACCCTATGCCCTGTTCGGCCTTGCGACTGACCAGGAGTACCTCTGTCTTGTCTGGATTCAGTTTCAATTTGTTCGCCCTCATCCAGACCGTCACAGCGGCCAAGCACCGGTTCAGGACCTGGACAGCCTCCTTAGTAGCAGGTGGAAAGGAGTGACAGAGTTGGACATCATCCGCGTACAGGTGACACCGTACCCTGAAACTCCGGATGATCTCTCCCAGCGGCTTCATGTAGATGTTGAACAACATAGGGGACAATACTGAGCCCTGCAGCACCCCACAGTACAATGGCTGTGGGGTCGAGCAGGAGTCCCCTAGTGACACCTTCTGGGATCGACCCTCGAGGAAGACCGGAGCCACTGCAAAGCAGTACCCCCAAGGCCCATCCCTGCGAGGAGGCGTCCCAGAAGGATACCGTGGTCGATGGTATCAAAGGCCGAAGAGAGGTCCAGCAGAACCAACAGGGACACACTCCCCCTGTCCAGTTCCCGGCGCAGATCATTAACTAAGGCGACCAAGGCTGTCTCGGTACCATGTCCGGCCTAAAGCCAGACTGTCCCAGGTCTAGATAATCCGTTTCTACCAGGAATACCTGGAGTGAAGTATCATTCGAAAGCTGACTGGCACAACCTGGGGATCACAACCAGATACAGTGAAGACATCTGCCCTTGCGCTGTGCTACTCTGCTGCTGAGTATGCATGCCCAGTGTGGAACACATCTCACCACGCTAAAATAGTGGATGTGGCTCTGAATGAGACATGCCGCATTATTATGGGGTGTCTGCGCCCTACACCTCTGGAGAAATTACACTGCTTAGCCAGTATTAAACCACCTGACATCCACCGGAAAGTAGCAGCCAATAGTGAAAGGACCAAGGCAGAGACATCTCCAGCTCATCCCCTGTTTGGGTATCAGCCAGCACGCCAACGACTTAAATCTAGAAATAGTTTTCTAAGATCTACAGAGACACTCGCTGGAACACTTCAGCAAGCGAGAGTCCAAAAGTGGCAGGCTCAAACCCAGAACCTCAACCAATGGCTGATACCAAATGAGAGATTCCCCCCTGGGCACACAGAAGACTGGGCGACTTGGAAGGCGCTGAACAGACTGCGCTCTGGCACCACGAGATGCAGAGCCAACCTTCAGAAATGGGGCCACAAAGTAGAATCCTCGGCATGCGAGTGCGGAGAAGAGCAAACCAGACCACCTGCTGCAATGCAACCTGAGCCCTGCCACATGCACAAGGGAGGACCTCCTTGCGGCAACACCGGAAGCACTCCAAGTGGCCAGATACTGGTCAAAGGACATTTAACCAGCTACCAAACTCACAAGTTGTGTATTTTTCTGTTTGTTTGCTTTGTTCTGTTAGACTGGTTGTTCTGACACGACAAATAAATAAATAAATAAAACCTGGAGTGAAGAGGGCTTCCAACACTCTTCATCCTCTCCAGCGGATGTCTAGGTCCTCTCGCAGGACCCTTCCTCTCCAGAGGGCTGGCTCTGACATCCCTGGCTCGGTTTACCCTCCTCTCCAAAAACACAGAAGGAGAAACCCGGGAAGGAGGAGAAGGAGGGAGGAAGAACGCCAGCGAAGAGCAGCCAAAGCCACTAATTGGGAGGCGGTTGATGCCGCTGCTGCCTTGCAGGCGCCTGGACTCCGGGATGAATAGTGGGAAGGCCAGGCTCTGAGCCCGGGAAGGCCGCCTTGTACATTTGGATCTTGGTCTAGCATCCCCTGAATGTGTGGGACACAACCCCCATCATCCTCAGTCAGCATGACTTCCTCTGGACGGTGGGTTTGCAGTCCCAACTCTATAGAAAGCGTTTAGGTTGGTAAAATCTGGTTGGGTTGACCTGTCTTCTCTCAATGTATTGGATACAACCCCCCATCATCCCCAATCAGGATCACTGCCTGTGGACGATGGGTATTGCCGTCTGCCACCTATAGAAGTGGTTTTGGTGGAGAAAGCCTGGTCGACCCAACCTGCAAGAGGTGGATGATGCAACCCTCAACCAGCATGGCTTCCTGTGGATGATGTGTCTTGCAGTCTGACACCTATAGAAAGGGTTCAGGTTGGGAAAGGCTGGTCCCTGATTGTGCCTGTGGACGATGGGTTTTGCCGTCTGCCACCTATAGAAGTGGTTTTGGTGGAGAAAGCCTGGTCAACCCAACCTGCAAGAGTTGGATGATGCAACCCTCAACCAGCATGGCTTCCTGTGGATGATGTGTCTTGCAGTCTGACACCTATAGAAAGGGTTCAGGTTGGGAAAGGCTGGTCCCTGATTGTGCCTGTGGACGATGGGTTTTGCCGTCTGCCACCTATAGAAGTGGTTTTGGTGGAGAAAGCCTGGTCAACCCAACCTGCAAGAGTTGGATGATGCAACCCTCAACCAGCATGGCTTCCTGTGGATGATGTGTCTTGCAGTCTGACACCTATAGAAAGGGTTCAGGTTGGGAAAGGCTGGTCCCTGATTGTGCCTGTGGACGATGGGTTTTGCCGTCTGCCACCTATAGAAGTGGTTTTGGTGGAGAAAGCCTGGTCAACCCAACCTGCAAGAGTTGGATGATGCAACCCTCAACCAGCATGGCTTCCTGTGGATGATGTGTCTTGCAGTCTGACACCTATAGAAAGGGTTCAGGTTGGGAAAGGCTGGTCCCTGATTGTGCCTGTGGACGATGGGTTTTGCCGTCTGCCACCTATAGAAGTGGTTTTGGTGGAGAAAGCCTGGTCAACCCAACCTGCAAGAGTTGGATGATGCAACCCTCAACCAGCATGGCTTCCTGTGGATGATGTGTCTTGCAGTCTGACACCTATAGAAAGGGTTCAGGTTGGGAAAGGCTGGTCCCTGATTGTGCCTGTGGACGATGGGTTTTGCCTACAGTTAGCCCAGCTTTTTTGGATGATGGGCCTTGCAGTCTGACACAAACAAAGCTTCTGGAGTAGAACAAGGACTTTCAAAGCAAGGTTTGCTCCATGTATTGTCTAAGGTTTCATGGCCAGAATCACTGGGTAGTTGTAGGTTTTTTCGGGCTATATGGCCATGTTCTAGAGGCATTCTCTCCTGACGTTTTGCCTGCATCTATGGCAAGCATCCTCAGAGGTATGCTTGCCATAGATGCAGGCGAAACATCAGGAGAGAATGCCTCTAGAACATGGCCATATAGCCCGAAAAAACCTACAACAACCCAAGGTTTGCTCCTTTCAAGCTCAGACTGAAACCTAGCCTCGTTGGCCACTCCATGGACCTCAGAACCACAAACCAGAATAAACCCACGGCCTTCTTTCTGCCATGAAGGCCCTGCGCCAGCACTGGAACCGTGTGGTATTCCTCCTCCTCCATGGCACCACCTCTGCCGAAAGGAGTGCCGTAACCCATCAGGAGGTGTGTCCAGCCTGAGGTTTGATGCTCACCGAATAGGCGGCCTCCCGCATGAACTGCTTGGCCGGCTGCTTCCAGATGGCCGGGACGGTGATGACCCACCGGATGGCGTCCCGCTCTGGCAAAGCCGGACACTGGTCCCTCAGCTCCTGCAAGAAGAGAACGAGATGGGAGATCGGACTGCAGGACGGAGCAAAGCCAGAAAAGGCTCCATGGGTTAGGACAGTGGCTTCACAACAGGACCTGCAGAAGATCAGTCTCTACACACGTGGCTATTTGTAATTTTGTCTATATCCCTGCTTTCATCCAAAGATCAGAACTCAAGGAGTGACCATCACTCAAAAAATTGATTTTGTCATTTGGGAGTTGTAGTTGCTGGGATTTATAGTTCACCTACAATCAAAGAGCATTCTGAACTCCACCAATGATGGAATTGAACCAAACATGGCACACAGGACTCCCATGACCAACAGAAAACACTAGAAGGGTTTGGTAGGCATTGGCCTTGAGTTTGGGAGTTGTAGTTCACCTACATCCAGAGAGCACTTTGGACTCAAGCAATGATGGATCTGGACCAAATTGGCATGAATATCCCATATGCCTAAATATGTTTGGGGGAAATAGACCTTGACATTTGGGAGTTGTAGCTACTGGGATTTATAGTTCACCTACAATCAAAGAGCATTCTGAACTCCACCAATGATGGAATTGAACCAAACGTGGCACACAGAACTCCCATGACCAACAGAAAACACTAGATGGGTTTGGTGGGCATTGACCTTCCAGACAGCACTTTGGACTCAAACAAGGATGGATCTTCTGGACCAAACTTGGGACTAATATTCCACATGCTCAAATATGAACACAGATGGCGTTTGGGGAAAATAGACCTTGACATTTGGGAGTCTATTCCACCAATGATGGAATTGAGCCAAACATGGCACACAGGACTCCCATGACCAACAGAGACACTAGAAGGGTTTGGTGGGCATTGACCTTGAGGTTGGGAGTTGTAGTTCACCTACATCCAGAGAGCACTTTGGACTCAAGCAATGATGGATCTGGACCAAACTTGATACGTGGTGAACGACGTATCCCAGGACTCCATTGGATGGGGGAAAATAGACCTTGACATTTGGGAGTCTATTCCACCAATGATGGAATTGAGCCAAACATGGCACACAGGACTCCCATGACCAACAGAGACACTAGAAGGGTTTGGTGGGCATTGACCTTGAGGTTGGGAGTTGTAGTTCACCTACATCCAGAGAGCACTTTGGACTCAAACTATGATGGATCTGGACCAAACTTGATACGTGGTGAACGACGTATCCCAGGACTCCATTGGATGCCCCTTGCAATGCGCGCACCCGGGCGCACCCATTTACCTGCACGGCTTGCTGCTTGAAGAAGCGGAGGGCGTGCGCAAAGACTTCCAGCGCCTGCACCTTTTTCCCATTGACGGCTTCCAGTTCGGTCTTCATGGTCAGGTCCTTGCAAGAGGGAAGCCAAAGAAAGACATGGAAGAGGGAGGGATGGACACAAAGGTTAATTAACAAGAGGGAGACGCAAATCACTCTGGGATGCGAGAAAACGAGGGCGGTTAGGACAGCGCCCTTTTGCAGCTTGCGAGGCAGAAAATATTATTATATGTTTATTTATATCCCGCTTTTCCCCTCAAAGCAGCTTTCTCTGTTTTTGTTGGACATGCCCCATCATCCTCAGGTAGCATGACTTTGTTTGGATGATGGGTTTTGCAGTCCAAAAGGGTTTAGTTTGGGAAAGATTGGCTGGGTTGACCAGTGTTCCCTGGATGTATTGGATGCAACCCCCATCATCCCCAATCAGCACAATTGCCCATGGATGATGGGTTTTGCATTCTGCCACTTATAGAAGGGTTGGGAAAGCCTAGTTGACCCAACCTGAATGTGTTGGAACCCTCAACCAGCATTGCTTTCTGTGGATTATGGGTTTTGCAGTCCTACTCCTACAGAAAAGGTTCAGGTCGGGAAAGGCTGTTCCCTGGATGTGTTGCAGGCAACCCTTATCATTTACAGTCAGCATAGCTTTCTGTGGATGATGGGTCATGTATTTCGACACTATAGAAGGAGGTTAATTTGGAAGAGACCCTTCTACAGTTAGCCTGGCTGTGTGTGGATGATGGGTCTTGCAGTCCAACACTATGGAAGGGAGTTCAGTTGGGAGAGACCCCTCTATGGTCAGCCTGGCTTCTGTGTATGATGGGTCTTGCAGTTTGACACTATAGAAGGGATTTTAGTTGGGAGAGTGCCCTCTACAGTTAGCATGGCTGTCTGTGGATGATGGGCCATGCGGTTTGTTGCCATAGAAGGAGATTAATTTGGAAGAGACCCATCTACAGTTTGCTTGGCTGTCTGTAAATGATAGGCCTTGAAGTCCAACACTATAGAAGGAGGTTCACTTGGGAGGGACCCCTCAATGCTCAGCCTGGCTATCTGTGGATGATGGGCCTTGCAGTCCAACACTATAGAAGGAGGTTCACTTGGGAGAGACCCCTCTATGTTCAGCCTAGCTATCTGTGAATGATGGGCCTTGCAGTCCAACACTATGGAAGGGGGTTCAGTTAGGAGAGACCCCTCTACAGTTAGCATGGCTGTCTGTGGATGATGGGCCATGCAGTTTGACACTATACAA